CTTCACAAGAAGACCCTGGGTCAAGCTAGGTCAGTTGTATTCCAACAATTTGTCAAAGCGAGGAGTATTTAGGCTCCTCATTAATCATACTGACAGATTGTTTAGGGAAACAATTCTGCAAACCTTCATCTCAGGCAAGGTCTATATAACTACTTATATAGACCTTGATCTCAGGTAGTTTACTCAAGGGGACGTCAGTGGCTTGTTAAGGGTCAGCAATTAAGGGGTGAGGGCCAGAGGGGTGAAGGGAGGGGGTGAAGGGAGGGGGGGCGGGGTTCTCGTTGAGTCCGAGAGTCCCAGATGAGCGCTCTGTCGCTTCACTTCCCACACTCGGATTAAATGCAAATCCAATTATGTGTGGAACAGCAGTATCTGCTTAATGAGGCATTACAAACATACTATGTCTTGCTAGGATATGTAACAACTGATTATTTAATGGCAAGCATAAATATTTGATTAATCAATAACATTATTGCGACTCATATCAACTATCGAATAAGCGAAACATAGTAATAAGAGGGAAAATAGGTGCATTCTGATTCTCCAGATAGAAAATGTATAGATTTTCACTATTAGCAAATCTGAAGTAATTAAAGTGGAAAATCAACCTAAAAGCTATCTTGATAATAGGACGGTGGAAAACAGTCCATCTAAAACGAATGGAGAGAAAAAGAAAAGAGAAAGGGACGCAATTCCTTGTTTCATTCGATCTATTTTCCAAGCTTCTGAAGTTACTGAAGTTCTGAAGCACACTGGTAACTGAAGTTTCGCTCGTGACATTCTGGTATATTGCTTTTTTTTTTTACAAAAGCATTTCAATTAATCGAAAGTTCTTGATTTCACTGTTTAGTAAGTTTTAATATTATTAGGTACCTATCAGTGTTGTCCAAATATTTTCGCCTATTGTACCTGTAATGTACCCTGAGGTCCACCTGGCTCCGAGTTCATACATACGGAAATATCTACTCACTTGAAAATATACAAGTTCCTCCTAAAAGTTCTAACTTCCATTCTCTGTTAAGAATCGTAATCATTTTCTTTTTATTTTGGGGGGGTTACTATTTTATTTACTCGCTGAGTTTTGTTTCTCGCTATATATATATATATTCTTTTTATCAATTATCTCAGATGTTTAGTAAGGTACTTAGCCTTGCCACATTTTACCGCTTTTATTTTTAGTATTTCATTTTACTTTATTTTACCTTTGAAAGATATGCCCCCGAATTTCGCGTGGGCCAATCAGGTTAACGGGCGTGTAGCCAATCAGAGCCATTCTAGGTCGTGCTCCCTGCGTGTGATTTTCAAGGGCGCGAGAGTTCACGCTCACGCTCACGACTGGCTGGACGCACGCTCCCGATGACACCCCCCCCTGGAATTCGTAAACTTAATCAAAAGCTAGGTATTCTCTCTATTTTGTGGTGGTTTTGGTATAAGCACGAAAGAAACAGTCGCCGAACATTTTCTTGTGGCACGAGTGATATGTGGAATATAATCAATAAATTGTTAAACGGCAATTAAGTATGATAAACCTATAGCAGTCCAGCCAGTCACCTTTTTTTAAGTATCAAGATAATTATCCGCACATCTACTAATTCTATTTATGATAAAATAAGATACGTGTACACATGAACATATTAATCTATATATTAAGCATGA